GCATCCAGAAAAGTCTATTCCGTGTGGTAATGAAGTGGTGTATGAAATCCCCCTGGAATGTCGCTTTAAATTTGTGGGGAAGACGTCAAGGTGTATAAATGACAGATTGACTGTACACAAAAGAAATGTCAAAAACAACGTGGCCAATTCAGAAATAGCGAAACATGTTCAAGAATGTAATAATTGTATACCACACTGGTCCGAAACAGAGATAATACACAGGAAGTTAAACGACATCAAAAGGGTTGTAAAATAAACAATAAGAATGAAATCAATGGGCACCTGCAGTGTCAGGTGTCGTTACAGCTTAGCAGCAGTGCAAAAACATTCTTGCGGATTTTAAAGTTTTGTTAAGTGGTTGTTGAATGTGAACGTGTGTAAGTGGTTTCCTCCTTTGTGTCTCAGGTGGATTGGCATCTTTCGTTGTTGGGATGCTTTGTGATTGTGGGCCGGAGAGTAGAAGGGGAGGGTGTACTATGTACGCGAAGGATTCAGTCAATTGTCTTCCGGGAGAGGGGAGCTAGGGTGCGTTGCTTTGTGGAAGACGTCAAGGTCGTTTGACAATTGTGGTGGAAAGAGATGAGACCTTTGTTATTTATTGGTTTTGCAGGTCGAGAAGGTTCTGTGGGGAAGTTCGTGAAGTGTATATAAGAGGGTGACCAAATAAACTTGTCTTTAGCTGTGTTAGAGACGTGTCCTCGACTGTTCATTTTTCTTCCCATTTGAAACTTTCCTCTTTTCCTGCCTCAGTCTCGGGCTAATAACAAAATGGTTGACATCCATCAGCTCGCCTGCGCATCACTACATTATCACTAAATACCCTGTCAGTGTCCCTTTAAGAAAACAGAAGGCAACGGAACGCACTCGCTTGCAACCGAACGCAAGTGTCGGGGTGGAAATTTCTTTATCGATATTGAGACCTCTCGCGGTGTGGTTATCGTCCCTATTGAACCAGAGAGAGGTAGAGCGAGAGAGTGAAAGAAGAGCGAGAGAGAAAGATGGAGGGGGGTATAAATCAACTTCATTTTTGCCTTTAAAATCACAAATATCGAGATTTTTTTTTTTTTTTTTCAATTTGGTGCACAAGGGCTCCAGAAAATCATTTTCAAAGTACTGCTGAAGCCCCTACTTCCCGGAGCGTGACGTCATATTAAGAGTTTTGGGAATCCTCTCTCTCGCGCATCTTTAACGCCTATCGAAGCTATGCATGCGCGCTCTTGCTATCTTTAAAAAAACGTAAAATAAGATAGATGGCGTCACGATTGCCGTCAGTGCGGGGTGGATCTGCCCACACGAGCGACACGCACTGGTGGCCGAAAGATCTGTGTATGACGTAACGACTGGTCGGAGGTTTTTCGTGTCTTCTCTCGCGTTTGGTTGCATCTTCGGGGAAAACGAGCGGCGCAATATTCATATTCACGGGATAAAAATACTGTAGAATCCAGCTCTGACTCTGTTCTTCTGCAGAACCTCCTCACATTCCTCTAACGTTCTCGTCACGTGACTGTATACTACCGGGTTCGAATGAAATCCGAACAGTGACGGAACTTCGAGTGCACTGACGGCGCAGCTTCGAAGCTTGGGTTGTGCTGGGCGAGGTTCAAACACATCCGAGCAGCACGCACACCCTCGCAGCGCCCTAATCTCCACCCCGCAGTTTCATCAGTTTCAAGAGGCCTCCACGAGGCACAGCATATGTCGACGGCCACACGCGCAGGTGTTCGCATTTCATTCGAACCCGACAGTACATCCTCAGAGACGTGCAGGTGTGTTGCCCCTCCCCCTTTCTCAAATTTTGTTTGAAGCCAAAATCATCTCGTCTTTTTTTACTACTGAGTCAATAAAAGTTTGAGCAAACAATGTGAACACTGTTTGGATATTTCTACGCGACGAACCTTTCAACTGAAAGCAGGCGGAAACCTGATGTCCAGGCCCACGCGCTGAGAAGCTGAGAGGCATTATGCCATTACAGCATGGCAACCCTTTTTTAAAGCAATAGCTTTAAGGGCGACACTTTGCAGATTTCGACCTCGTGTGTTGTCGTCGAGCCAAAAGCGGAAAAACTTTTTTTTTACAGCGGAGCTGTTAAGGGCTAGTTTCCCCAGGATTGTGTCCGTCCCCCAAAAAGAGTCGACACAACACTCTGGACAGCTACCGCCATCTATGACGACGGCGGCAACTAGACAACCGGCTGACCGGTTGTCTGGTTAACGCCGTCGCTGATAGCTGGCGGCAGCTGTCGAGAGTGTTGTGTTGCCGGTTGTTTGGTTGCCGCCGTCGCTCATAGATCGCGGCAACCTTTCCAGCGTTTCCACTCTGGCTTGCCGAGTTGCGGCCGGCCATGACTTCATTCCCACCATAGTACAGCTTCGTTGGTCTTCCTTCTTCACTAAAGTGGAAAGGCTGAAAGATTTTTTTATTCCTTTCTTGGCGAGAGGAGAGAGAAGTTGGGACTTCCTTTCAGCCGTGCCGCGCGAAGAGAGCGAAGAGGGCAGCTCTGGGCGTCCCGCCGAGCATGGGGCGACGAGGGTAGAATCTCCGTGTTGTCTGCTTCAAAGACTTGTTTTCAATCATTACTCGTGTTATGCGAAATTCCACTTTGGCAGTATCCAGCTGCTACTTAAAATGTTGGTTGACTTTATCAATTTACGCCGCGCTTACCGATGCACTTCAGAAATCACCGGGCACTGGTGGCGCTCGTCAGTGGCATTTACGACGCCGATCACGACGTCTATGAGAACTAACCACGTCGCACGTCCGCCCTCAGGTACGTGAGGGCACCATTCCACCCGCATTGCGTGACCGTGCTACAACTATCGCTTTCGTTTCTTCGCACATTGCGGGCGAAAAATTCGACTTTTTTTTTATTCACATTCACGCAGTATGAGTGCGTTAACACTCATACTGAGGCTATGAGTGCACATTATAACAAAATAGTGTCTTCTTATTTCTTTTACTTTCTCAGAACGATTTTTGAACTAGAATGTGAAGGCAAGTCACACCTTTTGGCGGGCTAGTTGGTTCATGATTTCTGCGCTCTGTGTGTCGTACTCGTTTCTACCTCTGTCCTCGTCCTTTGCGCAGTTCATTTATTTCTAAAATGTGAAGGCCCTTCACACACATGAGCTTGACTACGACCTACAGAGACAAGATCGGTTCTTAAGCCTCCTGCGACGGCTTACGACCGGCCAAACTCAAGTTTGAGAACGGGCCTTGAGTATCTCAACAAGGAAAATTACTTTGCTGGAGGCATTCTTCAGCACTAAATCTAACCATCCGGCTTTGCCCTGCTTTGATATCGTTCGAAGCCCTTATTGTGAGGCGCGGATACCTATATCGAGAACAATTTAGGGGGAATAATCCGTGGCTGAACTTCGAAATTAAATATTATGCTGCAGTTATAATAATTTTATCTCAGCCATGCACTTCGAACAGAAGTATCGCTGTGGTGCCTTATGGTTCATGTTTCTGATTCATGTCAGAAACGACTATCTTGGTTTTCTGAATCAATGCCTTGAATCATGCTTGGGTAGTAATTCAATTACAGTAATTGAATTACTGTAATTTAATTACTTTTGTTGGTAGTTTGTAATTGTAATGAATTACTTTCGGCTAAAAGGAAGTGTAATTGTAATTTATTTACTCTCTAGCGTCAGTAAATGCAAAATTTTAGGCACAATTACAATTAATCTTGTAAAACTTCGCGGCACCGACGGAACCTCTCTGAAAGCCACAGTGACCGCACAAGCATCCTAGCTTTCGGTGCAACACTCGCGCACAGACACACCAAACCTAAATAGTGTCGTACTGTTGGTTGTTTTGTTACTTACATTGCGGGCTGAGAGACAATCCTTCTTGGGGTCTACCAGAGCGGCGCCGTGTAGTCCTTTCCGCGGTGCGAGCAGAAAACAATAGCATAAACATGCCAAAATATCTAAAGAAAAAAAATATTGAGCTTGCAGCAATTTGGCCTTGCATGCTGCCCGTAGGGAGGTACGACACCCGGAATCCAGTTCAACAAGACAAGCGTTTATTACCTTTCGGGTTCCCAGCGGCGACTGCCGCTGGACAGGGTTGGCCTGACTCTTTATAGCGGGATTTGCGGTGCTTTCACGCCCCCTCCCGCTTTCCGACGAGGTTGGGAATTTTATTTGTCTATTAAGATATATTTATTTCTCTTTTGCTAGTTTTTTGCGTCCCTCTTCCAATACAATCGCATATTTGTATCTTTGTATTATTTTCAAGTTTCTTTCATGTTGGTTTTACTTCGGATATTATTTGCATACGCATTTTGGAGACTGACCTCGCACCTGGGAATATTGTCCCCAATCATTCGGTGTCCCCGATTCGGTTCTTATATATTTCTGGGCCATTATAATTTCAACTCGATGTGAATAATGTCCAGTACCATGATGTTTGTATTTGAATACGGTCGTATTAGCGCGTGTGGATTTTAGTTTTATATTAATACTTGTAAAATATTCATAAATCACTAATTGTGGCATTTTTATTTTTCTGGCTAACAAAATTCTTTCTACTCAATTTTTTTCTTTAGCGATGTGGGGTCTTCCAGCATATGAACTAATTTAATATTATTTATTGATTCAAAATAAGAATGTAGCACTTCATTGCCCCAAACTGTCCAGTTCTATCATGAATTCAACAAAATTCATGAAAGGAAACTACAATACGTGGCATTCATGCTGCGATGCTTAGTCCTCTTCAAACATTGTTGGGGCAAGCAATGAACAAATAAATATGTTGCATTGTATACAACTTGTTCAAAGTTATATGGCCCAAGTCGGGTGGCTCTCAGGAATAAGTAATTTTAAAGTAATTGCATTACTTTTGAAAAGTAATTTGCATTTGTAATTAATTACTTTTCTCGTAGTAGCAATCTTCATTGTAATTAAATTACCTTTTGGAAGTAATTTACCCATGCATGCCTTCAATGATGTATGCCCGAGCCTAACAGTTACAGCCCTCGTTTATGACAATTTACAAAGAAGCAGTTTAAACTTCTCAATGCGCTCCCAAGTCCCTTCTCTGGTGTTTAACAATCTGCAAACCTTAAGCAAAACGAAATGGTGGTTTACGTAATTTTCACGCTCCCAACCGATCATCACGGAAGGTCTATGTTCTTCCACAAGTCCATCACATCACTGCCACAAGTCTTTGAAGCGATGCGCTCTTTGAGCCGCCTCACTTGCTCCGCCGAAAAATGACTCCTCCAGTCACCAACGACCCCCTTGCGCACAAAGTCACTCATCATCGGCTTGTTCAGCGCCTCTTCGCCCATGGCTTCCATTGTTAGCTGCAGCCAACGCGGTCTCTTATCTTCGGGAATAGCATTTATCTGATCGATGAACGATTCCAGACCTTCGTTCACGTTCTTCTTCATGCTGCCGACCTGCGTCTTCTTCATGACCTGATCTAGGGCCACCTGATCGGCCCTCAACTTCCTCCCGTACTCCTTGCCGAGGAAGTCGGCGATCTTCAGCACCCACGTAACGGTATCCTTCTTGAGGTCTTCGTACGTGAGGAGAAACACGTTGGGATCGTGGCGGTGCTCGTACCAGGAGAGCAGGTGGTCGAAGTAGTCACCAAAGTCCGCTTTGCCTTCGATAAACATTTTGAAGAACTCGTCGAAAGTACCGTCCGTGAAGTTGTACTCAGGCATCCCCTTGGTGTGGTAGAAGAAAGAGACGCAGCAGTCGTAGGGGTTCCTGGTGATGTAAAAGTACTTTGCGTCCTTGGAGAAGGGTTGGAAGCGGAACGGCATGTGGGTCTTGATGGCTCCTGGCCTGGGCATCTCCGCGATGGACTCGACGCCTTGCAACTCCAGGAATGGCATCACGCGGAAGGCGTCCATGGCGTTTGATGGCGGGGAACGCCCGTTCAAGATGTTATAGACGATATGCTGCATCCAGGTGGTGCCGCACTTGGGGTAACTCGTGATGAACACGTCTCCCGGCACCGGTTTGTAGCCCAGTGCCGATCGAACGCATTCCTCGTGAAAGCCGGCGCTGATGTAGTAGCCGTCCACCTCTCTATATCCCTCAGTCGCCATGACTCCCTGGAATGTACAGAAAATGGCGCAGTCATTATATTTTCGTGAAGCAGAGGCAAGATTTAAAAGCGCAAAGAAGATTAAGTGACCGCCAAACGTGGAGAAAAAGAGACCTGGGTTGCCGCCCGCATAGGAAATTGCTAGAGGACTACATTCTAAGAAGCTTCTGCATGAATATATGTAACCTTTCCCGCTGCAGACAGGGCGCCAATCACTACTTCGTTTAGCCAATTGTTGGTATTATACACTTCCACGGATACAGAATCTTATGAGGCACAAAAAGTTTTTTTTTTTCAACTTTAGCTATGAACGGTGGGCAATTTTTTTATGGTGCTGACCGCCCTTCTCATTGGTGGAAAAGATCAAAGGATAACGAAGGACTTGTATTCCGATCGAATAGTGAAACTTGGTATACAGCTGACACAGGCGCTACCTTCAGGCTGAACTGCATACAGCGAAAAAAGAGACTAATTTCGACCGGCTGCATTCGTTCTGCGCTGGACGCCAGAAGAGTGTCTGTTACACCGCGCGCAAACCGAGCGCATACGGAATGAGCACAAAAGCAATACTAAACTTACCGAACCACAAAGACGTCGAAATAACAGCCAAAAAAAAGCGAGTGTGAGATCTCAAATTCAATCCGCTTTGCTGCTTTGTCTTGGTACCCAAGCTCCCAAAGAGCCTTCATTTATACTCCTATTAAATGGAGATACTCCTCAGTTTAACCCCTTTTCTCCACTCCCCGATGCCTCCCACCCCGGTCTCTGACTCCCTTTGAATCGTTTACGTGTATTTCCTCTTACGACCGTCCAGAAAAGCGAGTTCAGGTTCTTTCAGGAGCCAGGCAAGAAATAAGTAGTACTGCTGGCTTGCACACAGCTTTTACGGCCGCGCTGACTGCGGGCTTCTCTTCCGCGCGATAACAGGTAGATAAAGGATGTCTTAACAACTATACCACACGAGGAAAGTAAGAAGATAATGAACTTCTGTCCTCCTCTCCCGAACATGACCTCTGAAAAATGCATTAAAACAGAAACCAGCCTAACGAGTGTGCACTAGAACAGGCGCGTGTTCTAGTGCACTCTCCTATCCGAAAAAGGGCTCCTGGCCGATTCCATTGTCAGAGTGCCTGAGCATGGCGCGTTATTTGTTCGCTCTCCGATGAGACGAACACGCGGGCGCCATGGGCTGAGGAGATCGTACGCTGGGCTGAGGATTTGTAAATATTAAAATGGCGTACACGATTTCAATATTTACAAGTCCTCAGCTGAGCGTGCTATCTTCTCAGCCCATGGTACACTCTAAAAAAAAAGGGTGTACTTGGGTGTATCGCGCGCCGTTACACCCCCCTTCGACCGGAGACACCCCGACGAGCCTCAGGCAGCGTACTCGTACTCCCATCACGCGATTCCTCCTCTTCCAAAGGAATCGACGGGCGAGGCGGGTGTTGCCAGGTGCACCGTTACACCCCCATGCACAACAACCGGCTAGCAAGTCCGAGCCGTATGGATTGAATCCAGATGAATTTTTTTAAGGGTCCTTTTACTTCCCACACAATTAGGAGAAAGTTGCCAACATATTTTTTGTTGTATATTTATTGCACCACAATATTATGTAATCAAAACAAAGACCAGATTCATAAAGCTATCTTACGACGAAAAACGTGCGTACGAAAAAAAACGCAAGAAATCAGTATTCTCGAAACGAAATGATCGGGAGTTTTGCTTAAGTTACGAAGGAATTCGGAAACAGCTTTCGAGCAGTCTTCCGCACTTTTTTGCAGTCGGCACGTCCGTCCGCGTCGCTCGGTCGCCCGAATTTCGCCGCGACAAGCGACAAAGATTTTTCTAAATACTCTTCGACTTCGGGCGCATTCCGACTCCAAGAAGGGAAAGGAAAGAAAGAACTCCAACTACGCGCCGAGGATTTCCGTAAGCAGTCACAGGAACCACTACGGCCGTACCGATGGAGCGGACAAGGAGCAGAGCTCGTTGACGGGAAATGCCTAGGCGCTCCATGCCTCCAGACCGTACGCCCTATCGCCCTGCTGAATGGAAGGGCGGAAGGAGATGCCCACACGACCTTCTTTTCTTTTCTGTGGACCTTTGTCGTGTGAATAGCCTTGACGATGACCTTGAATATAAGGTTAGTAGGTAGTCTAACTTTTACCCCTCGTCAATCTCGGAGCGATGGCTGCGGTGACCAACGTTCTGGGTAACCGACGCTCTCGTCGATTCGATCTTTTTTTTTTTTTCATGTAGAACTGAATTAAATTTCGTATGGATTACCCCTGGGACACATGGTACGCAAAATTTTATTTCTTGAAAGAGCGCATGTCTTGCATTTAGACGTGACAATGGGAGGATCCGTCAACACGGATCGAGGCAGAACATATTTTAGCACTGCTGGTTCAACGCCTCGGCCGAATGTCACGTCAACGTCTAGTCTAGTCTTCTCGTAGTTGACAAAAGGGACGAGATACAATCGCTCATCTCCAGCGCTTTAAGCGGTCGAGAAGGCGCAAGTGCTTTACAACTGAAAACTGCGGACTTCACCGTGTCTATTGCTGGCACAAAACGTTCGTTTTCGGAGACCGGCAGCTCTCTTCCAGATTCTCGAGAGCACGAACAACGGCGCGGCAAATTTATTCCCATGGTTCGCGCCTTGCGAGTGAGCTGCGGGCCCTATCCTTTTCCAACATACACTGTAAAGAGTGGCCGTTGCTTTTACATCAATTTTCTTGCCAATGAATCTTTTGTAAAAACATTGGTTCCAGTACCCTCTCTCCCTCTTCCTTCTGGCCGAGCAGAGAGGGAAGATGGTTTCGTTGTGTCGACTTCGGGGCGGAAGATTACGCACGATGGGGACAAAGGCGAAAAAATAGTCAGAGTGCAGGCGAGCTGGTGTAAGTTGAACATGATTGTAAACCTGAGACTGGGGCAGAAAAGAAAAGACGTTAAATAAAGGGAGAGGGAAGAGGAACCTGGGGAGCGCAAGAAAACAAAATGCGCGCGGAAATAGAGCTTCCCGATTAGCTGCCGCTGGTAAAACGTCATCCGACTGACAACCTATCGCGACAGCGATCGCGTTTCGCGCGTTATCTGACCTTCGTGTTGCTAGGAGTCTTGACCTCCTCACCTCCCACACTCCATTTTGGCAATCTCGGCCAGCTTCAGCTAGCGTGACGGCAATGCTTGGCACGTAGCTGCAGTCACAAACCAAGCGCACCCGTCCGATAAAGGTAAGTCTACTGTTTACGTGCCTTCGTTCGATGCTGCGTTTTGCGAGTCATCGGCCTGCCAGTTGAGGACATGCATTCCTTTTTCTCGTGTTTATGTCAGAGTTTCCCTGCTTTTCGATTTATGTCATGTGTGCGCGGAGGTGATGCCCGGTTCTCCGAGCGTGCAAATGGGCAGGAGATCGCAGCTTCGAGACGTTCTTGCATAGAATGAGCACTGCCTTGCAGCGTGTATAAAACCAGCGTTGTTCAGAGCAACGGGTCCCTATCGTTTCGCCGAAAAACGCGTTTTGTGGACTGACGTTTCATGGATACGCGTTCGTCGACATTAATGTTCCATCGACACTCGTTACGCGAATTGAACGGTGTAGGGACATTTAGTCACGCGAGTATGCCACGTGGACTCGCCGCTTTGTGGCAGCAGTATGAGGCGGCTCGTGACAGAAAAAAAAAAAAAAAAACTAATTTGGGCTGTCGATGAAACGCTCTGTTAATCAGGCAATCTGGCGATAAATCATCGCGTATCGATAAAACGATCTGTTGATGAAACGTTGTTCAACTGCAAAGCAACCTGCTCGCGCTCGCACGTATGGTTATGCACGGCGATTTTCAACGCGGATGATAGGGCGCAGATGGCGCTTCGGGACAGCAGCCTACAGTCCCAACGGGAGCCAGAGTTGCACGTCTGTTTTTCACGTGCCGTCGCGCCGCTATTCGGCGAGATCGATCACGTGAAAAGCAAACTCCAAGGGCCGTGCGGGAAAGCCACCGATACGGCCGCTTCGCCGACGCTGCACGCGCCCTGCTGTATGTTCTGCTTTTGCCACCTTCCTCCCCTTCCTTGTTATCCCGTAAAAAAAAAAAAAAACAAAAAAAAAAACAGCGGCGGCACTGCTTTCTGGGCAGAATCCTCGGGCTGTGCAGGAAAGTTGGCGCTACGGGGATGAGCACGCAACTCTGGCTCCCGTAGGGCAGTCTACACAGGAACTTTTAGAGAGCACAGAGCCATGTGTTGGAGAGTTTGAATAGGCGAGCATCTCGTGGCCAATCACAGCCGCTAGCGGTGTTCGTGAGCTCTCAAAATGCGACTCAACTAATTTAGGCCGTTTTAGCGTCGCTAGTGTAAAAGGGTATAACTCTTGGTGACTGAAAGCTTGGCGCATGTGAGGTTCTCGTCCCGTCCATATTAAACGGCAGAATAAACGAACGTGAGCTCCAAACCAGAGCAAACTGCATAGTTGCGATCTGCGAGGTTGAAGGCTTCTATTCCACGCTTTAAATGTTATTTCCAATATTGTGACGTCGGGGTCTGCTGATTGGTCGGTGCTGTGTCGCACTCTTAGTTTACGCTCTATAACCATGGAGGGAATATTCAGCGCTGTTGGCGACATTCGCTCTGCCCATTCGTCAAACACTCCCAATATACGGCTCTGGGGCAGCACTCACCACCCTCGATGTGCGTGGTGCTCAGTTTGGCGTTACTTTTGATAGCTTGATTTGGAAACATATACAGGGGCTGTACCTGCGGACGCACGCTTTTGAGAAGCTCGAGTTTGGGTAAACTTGAATTGTCATGTTGCTACACTACTTGCCAGACTCTTGGGCGAAATGTGTTAAAGTAGACTACTTCAGGGTGTCTACCAACCGGGAATTCTCAGGGATTGTGAATAGTCTGGAAAATCTCAGGGAAAACTCGGGGAATTTGTGCTTCTATCAAGGAATTTTTTTTTAAAGTTTTACAAATGGATTTTCACAGTCCAAAAT